GAAAAGGAAAATCAGTTTCCCAAAATAGTTTTCAACACATATATAGATTAGTGTTTTCATACACGTACACGTATCCAGGTCATGGCTAGTTGGTTTTTTTTTTTGTGTGTCGACAATAAGCCCAATACCGAATCAATTCATCGATCATTGTTTGTTAATTTACGATAAAATTATTGCGCATGATATCTTTGTTTTTAAAAATTTCCGGATGCATGATCTCTATATAATTTGTTATGTTTTTAAAAACGAATATATATTAATCAAAGTTAACCTCAATAATATATATATATGTTTTCTATTAACGTTGACTTCAATATTTCTTACGTTATAGTATTATTATTTTTTTGTTAGCGGAGAAGTTTGATATCGTTTGAGTTTGTAGTTTCTCTTGGCTAGTAGCCGGCATGTAACTCATCTAAAAAAATCAAACACTGTTTTTAAAAGGGATTCGAATTAAGAGGCAAATGTTTATGAGCATCATTAGAGTATCATATACTGTATTTGGTAATTTTTAGTCTGTCACTAACTTATATGGCAAATGTTTTGTTTTTGTCAACACTGATTATGGGCAAATGTTTTCAAATAGTTATATTGTTTTATTTTTCGAAACTTACCAAGAACAATAATGGTTAGCCCATACCGTACTCCATCCGTACCTTCCCAACAAGAGAGATGACCTTTACCATTACATATGTTATCTAGCAATACCTTCAATTATAAAGGTTAAAAAAAATATCTTCAATTAATTAAAAAGATTATAGAAAAAACAATATCTTCAGTTACCTATGAATATATAACACATATATAGACATGTCTACATACAGAATTCCTTTATTATGTATAATAACAAACTGGTACGATGGTACGGCGTTGGCGTGAGAAATTTCGAAGAAGGTGTCAAATAGGATTTGAATATGAAAATAAAATAATTCATGTAGGGAAAGCTAGAGGCAAATAATTTAATGTGATATCTGATTTATTGAATTTATAGACAAGCTGAATAAATAAATAAGTGAGCTCGAGGAGAAATTTCTAGGAAAGTGGAGATAACAATCCATCTTTTATGGCAAGGGACACTCATATAATAACTAAAATCCTATTTGTTTCAATTTTCTTTTATTTTGTTTGTACAAATATATATAGTCTAACTATACGAAATTTAGAGAAATTTTTTTTTTTTTTTATCAAAACATGTGAATATCATTTTCCACGAAGAACAATGTGAAAATTCGAAATAACGATATACAATAAGTTCATTTAAGTAAAATTAGGTTGGTGTTAGAAATTTCACATCGAAAAATTTGACGGGGTTAACTTGAAGTTACTCTAGATCATTTTCATTGTCTCATCAGTCCACCACATTCTTGTAGGCAAATTCAGAACATGTAAACTTCTTAATTGAAACTTCTGGTAGAGATTGACAACATTTGATTGTTGATTGCCGAAGAGAAGCATTTTGTACCAATATTCGTGATGTTGTCCCTTATATAAGAAACCAATTCTTCAGAAACTCCAAAGTAACATCGGGAGTTATATCAGGAGATCATATTACATTCAATAATCTTGTGAATTTTAAATTTAACATTGTGTATAATATATCCAATAATATTTTATATGTGTTTATTTAGGTTTAATATTTAAAGATTTTTATTATCTAAAAAGATGTTTTAAAAAGTCGAATCATTTCATCTATGTACCTTTTCACTTCTAACCGTAACAATCATGTAAGGTATTTCATAACAATTCATATTTTAATAAATTGATTAATTTTGAATCATTTAACTTAAAAATGTTCATACACAAGTGATTTAGAATCGGATATACAGGGTTCTTGTTACTCTTGTATTCCGGTATTTTCTTGTAGGGTAGTAATAAGATTACTTCTAAACTTGCAAGCTAGTTAACCAGACGATTTTTTTCAAACCGGAATAAACCGACCCGGCCACGACTTTCCATGGAAGCAAAGTTGAATAACAAATCACTAGTGAACGCAAGT